ACCTAAACGATACCCATCCCTAATCGTGGGTTATTTTTCGAACGTAACTCCCGTGACAAACGAGGGACTGCTGTACATTAGTATTACAATTATACATTAGCATTTTAACCCTGTGATGTCATCAGCAGTTCTAACCCTATTAGAAGATGTAAATGTTTTCAATTGTTCTCCCAACACTTTGCAATTAGAACACAAAGAGAGTAATCATCATTCTGCTCGAGGTGACTGTTCATATCAATAAAACTGGATTGAATTGAACTGAAAAACTGGCTTTTTGTGCAGTTCGAGTTGTCACTGATGGTGACTGAGAACCTGGACAGTTAATGTCTGATTGATAATGGAGTTTCCCACATTGTAACAAAAGCCAGTTTTTAGGGCTACTGAGACGCAGTTTGATCACCATAAACACATTTTTAGCCCAATTTTCTTTTTATAATAATATTTTAGAGAAACCTTCAACATGACCACTTTTTGTTGTAATTAATAGACTAACCTGCCCTGACAGCTCACTGACACTGACTACATATAAGGAACAAAGCCAAAACGACCCACAGCCATAAATTAGTAAGAAGTCTTTGGTCACGTGTCTGGAACGTGGGGTTCTTAAAGAACCGTCTCCTAGGAGAATTCATTGTTTTCTGCTGCTTCCCTCCAAAAGATAAGATCATTATCTTGAAGTGATGAAGTGAAGGTTAATAAATTGTGTTGCAGCTGCAAGTCTTTATCACAACTGTCGCAGAAATGTGGCTCTTTGTGTGACCACTACCACGTGCATGTGATATCGTGCCACTGAGCCAAATGTAGAAGCTGAAAGTGTGAGGGACTTTTAGCCTTTATGACCGAACACTTTGAGTGAAGACGCACAACCAATGGTTTAGGGTGCGTCTGAACCCCGTCCTCTGCGAATATCAGCCTGCTTTCCATTTTTGTTGTGACTCCAAGGCAAAGTAAGATTAGTTGTGTGTTGAACTAATCAGTAATGTGTTGAAAACAAGCCTCAGATGAGCCAGAATGTTTCTGCAGATAGAAACAATTCGAGAAAAGCGACCTCTCGTGGTCAGTCGCTCTCAGTTTGATTGTTGCCTAGAAATGTAACACAACCTGAGATGACCTTATTTCAGCCGTCGCAATTTTTGCAATCAAATAGTAAAGTAAAACACACGATGTAATTTCCTGGACCAAAACGAAAAGATCTCCCACAGTTACGTTAGTAAAGAACCTCCAATCATGTAACATTACATTAAATGTACTTCCCATCCGAGTCCCTACAGATCCGCTGGTTCATTTTCCCCTCAAATCGAAAGAAGCATTATTGGAATAATTGGGTTATAAACTAAAGAGTATTTAGCTGTGATGTGTTGAAGTCACCACATTGATGCACAACATAAATCCCTGAGAAAATCCCCAACCCATGTGGGTTTGTGGTTTTATCCATCTCCTGTGTTCATCCGTCTCCGAGCCGTGGCTGAGCCGGCTCCTCCTGCAGCCCGTCTTCCCCGGGGCCTGATTTATTAGCAGATTAAGGGATCTGCTCGAGCATTTACCCATCACAGCTATTTAAATTAGAAA